GGATGGATGGATGGATGGATGGATGGATGGATGGATGGATGGATGGATGGATGGATGGATGGATGGATAAATAAATTACAGAACCTTTTTTATGTTTGTCATATTTGAAGGAGGGAGGAGCACCGAGTGGACTCTGCCTGGTTGCATTAATCGTATTAAACGTCAAGTGCCAAAAAATAATCGATTAATGTTTTCTGACGATTAATCGCACACGATACGATTATGCCCAACCCTAGAGTGAGTACAACCTGAATGTGGTTTAAAAAAAATCCAAAGAAACAAACAAAAAAGAAGTTTTGTGCAGAAAAAAAAGGGTTTAAGGATTTTACCAACTTCATTTGTTCATCATTTACCCTGTCAGCTTTGTTAGGAGAGATATCGCTGCTCAAACTCTGTAAGGAATTCTCGCTGTGAGCCAAAGACATGTGTCCACTTCAGTCCTCATGTGTCCAGGGTGAACACACTGAATGTAATAGATGCAGGCATCGAAAGTGCGCTCAAGTCACAGAGAGAAATCATGTCAAGGTAGCACATGCCACCTCCCTGCGATGTGTACACACCTGACCTGGAACAAAGTGGACAACACAACCCCAGCCAGGCCCAACCGGAGACAGAAATCTCACCGCGAGCCACACTTCTCAACACATTGATGAGACAGGCTTGACACCGCAGCACACCGAGGGAGAGGTGTGGGTGTGACAGCCCACTACCATAATTTCATCCTGCCATTACCTGCCCAGATGCTCACAACTGTGCTCACAGAGACAGGTGCACAAACACTCTCCGCACAGGCAAAGATGCACTGGCTTCCATGAGAAACAACCCATAGGTGCAGCACACCAGAAACGCACAAGTGTCTCCGTTCAAGCTGATGCCACCGTCTCGCTCCTCGTTGTGACTCATTGTCAGTTTGCCGGGTGATTGTTGTCAATTGTGCTGACAGAAGTAAGCATATTAGCTACAACAAGCTCTGGCAATGTCTCCCTCTCGATTTGACTTGAGCGGCATAAGAAAGTGCAGAATGCTGAAGGCAGTCCACTGAGTTCCCCCTAACCTGTGCATCTATTTACACCTGGTGTACTTCACCTGACAGTCAATACAACAACAAAAAAAAACATTTCAACAATCTGACAAGAGACATCAACAAGATTTCAAATGGCACCAATATAAATAATTATTTACATGTTACTGTACACTTATTTGATGTGTGGAAAAAATGTTTCCTATTATAAAATTTTTTTATAAAAATTAAAGAGCTTATATTACTATGACAGAGTATCAGGGCCACACTAAAAGAAATCTTTTTTTTTTAAATCCGAGAATAAAGTTAAAATACCACAGGAAAAAAAGTCATAATCTTACATGACATGTCTATTTTCCCTTCCTGGGTCGTCTCACACCTGCTGTGGACAGACTCCAATACGTGTCACTGTGTTTATGAAGTATTACTTTTGAGTCACTGTTAGTGTAAGATGCTTCCATTCACAATATGTGATGACTAAATCTGTCAATGCAGCCATTAATTGCAATGCCATAGGGCTGCCACAAATTATTATTTTTATAATCGATTAATCACCGATTATTTTTTTCGATTAGTCGACTAATCAGATCATACGTGAACTGAATATAAAACATAGAGCTTATCGTGCCAGAATGCAGCTGCTATTATATAACCATGGTTAGATTTTAGCTATGTGCTAACTAAAAATAATTGCTGTGGAAGGTAAGTTCTGCTCTGCAGATATTGCACAGGTTTCTCTTTCATTTTCTTAAAATGATCCCACACTTTTGAGCTCTGTTGTCAGGTAGCCATGATACCAGAGCCTGTCTGTATAATGTCTTGTGACGTCCACAGCCTACCCCAGTTACCACTACTGTGCATGTGTGTCAAGGACAGAAAGGCAGATGTGGCAGTGGAAGGTGTCAAAGCAGTTTGGAGAGAAATACAAAATAAAGAACAAAAAAAAACGATTAATCGATTATTAAATTAGTCATCGATTATTTTTATAACTGATTAGTCGTCGATTAATCGATTAATCGTTGCAGCCCTAAAATGCCATACGGCCAATATCAGAGTATAACTTCACAAGATGCTCCTTTTAACACAATTGTAAGACTGCTTTTTTGTGTAGGTCTTTTTGTAATTTTATGACTTTATTCTCATAATACTACAGCCTTATCCTTGTAATATTTCAAATTTATTTTCGTAATATTGTAACTTTGAATGGAACATGTTCATAGGACTTGAATCAGGTGCAGGAAAACGGTCCAATACTCAGTCTTGAAGGTTTATTTACACATATATAAAGTTTTTCACAGCTCTTCCTTCTTCCAGCAAAGCTTTTATAGCAAGCCTAGTCCCACCCCAGATATGATGTCATACCTCTAACACAAGTAAGTGAGTTATAGAAACAAACACTAAAAATATATGGAGACTTATTGATTATCTAACTATTAAAGTAAATGCTTAAAACTGATCACAAAATATGACTGTATTTAAAATGCAGTTAATCAGTCACAAAATTTCCTTAAACTTTATTCTCAAAACATTTTGAATTTATTCTCATGCGGCTTTTTTCTTGTACTATTATTACTTCATTCTAGTAAAATTATGACTATTCTCATACTATTATGACTTTACTCTTATATTATTTTGATATTATTCTCATGTGTCTTTTTTCTCTTAATAATCTCACTATTCTCATAATTATGAAAACAAATCTCCTAGTGTGGCACTACTACTTTATTGTATATGACCATTACATGGTAGCTGAATTTTAAATGTGACGCTAGCCAATTTTTATATGAATTGTTTTAGAGGAGGTGAAATTGTTCTGTCTCAAGCTAAAATGTAATTTGCAAACGTTGCATTCAAAAAGTGACGTAAATAAAGATGCACCCTAAAAATTACAAAGAAATGTTACATCAGTGATGGTGAGATGTAGGCAATTAGAATCAGAAGGGTTTTTTTTTTACAGTGATAGGCGGTCCTGTATGATAAATAATAAAAAAGCATCATCATGTTGCTCAGAAATATTCACCTGTTGCCACAAAAAAACAAGCTACAGATTGATTATCACAATAATAGCAATGACTGCATGAAAATATAAATCCATAAGGTATCACCCAGCACTGTCCAGGCCAGTTTTAAACTATGGTCATTTTATTTTAAGAACTGATGGAGTTGCAGCCAGTTAGGTCAAATATCAAACACTGTGGAACCCGTCTTGAACGGGACTGACTCCAAACATTGATCACTTGCAGATGTACATCCAATGATTACTTTATTTGATTAAAATCCATCCGTGCATTCAACCACACACAAACAAACACAAGCAAAAACATCATCACCCATCTTCTGCCATTCACAAAATAAATTGTGCTTAAGAGCATAAATGTGGATATACCTCTATAACCAGGTCTGCAGGCATGTGACAACTGTCTCAAAGCAATTACTCTGACTTTTTTAAAGTGACGACTGAGATGGCGTCATGGTCTGACAGACATGAGAAGAGTTCAGAAATCAGTCACATTTTAACCATCTTTTCTTTTGTTCCACTTTTTAAATCAGCTGTTATCTTGATGTTAATTTAACAGCTCCCTTCTGACACAAATGTTCTGACTGGAGAGCTTTATTTTATTTGATCCTGAATTAGCATGTCACATATTATTGATTATGCCTTTTTTTATTGTACCCCGTATGTCCCCAGCTGATGCCTAATGCTGCGTTCACACCGAACGCGATTTCAGCTTCAAAATCGCAGCCAACGCTTCAAGTTGGTCGCTTGTGCACTTTGAGGTCAGACGCAGGACAGCTCTTGAAGTGCTGCACGGCAACAGCCTCCCCGCCCCTCCCTCCTCTGTCGGGCTCTGTTTAATGTCGGACGAGGAAGTGGCTTTGCTTAATTTACAGAGAGCAAGAGCATGTCACGTTCATCAGATAATTAATTCATAATTAATTCACCAGATAATTCAGAGACATTCTGAGTTTCATCACCCAGGAACTGCAGGAGAGGCTCACAGCTGCTTTCAGGACTATTTTTCCAGTCTGATGAGCCGCTGCCACGCATTGGTACGGATATCTCCTGTCAGGACACCGACTGCAGGCACTCAATTTCAGCTAAAGAGCTCCTCTCCGTCTGTTTCAGGTTAGTGGACATCATTCAGTAAACTGTCCCTTCGGGAAATATGTCGCTACGTCACACAGTGGAGTCTCTCTGATTGGTTGACGCGGCGCGTCGAGTTGCAAAAGTTCAGATTTTCTAACTTCGGTGATTTGCGCCTCAGAGCGTCGAACGCTCAGATTGTTCAAATCGCGCTGCTCTAATCGCGCTTGAGGCGCCGCAGCACTTCCCGACGCTGCTTGAAGCGCGTCCACCATAGACTTTGCATGTAAACCTGATGCTCCTGATGCTGAAATCACGTTTAGTGTGAACGCACCATAAGACTCATCCAGCTGTTTGATGTTCTGCTCCGGACAGAGGTGCTCATCTTCACCTGCAGCCGGCAGGAAGATTCACGTCCCCCAGTAGAAATGATTGATTACGTTTTCCCCTCTGCTTGTTTTCACCTTTTCTTACCTGAGCTGATTGAAACTCAGATCCAGTCGTTTGGCAAACTGTCCATACATGTCTCCGAGGAAGACTGGAACCTCCTCTGCGTCGTGTCCGATGTAGGAAACCTTTAAAAGGTCAGAAAGCAGAATGAGAGATCGCAATGATAGCTCCGGTGCGTAAAGCAAGATAACAGTTTACACAAAACAAAACAGGAAATTATTTTTTTTAAAGTAGAAACAATGTTTCCTGAAAAGTTGTTTTTGACTGTCAGTGAAGGGGAAGGGCAATATTGTATTTTGCTAGTGTCCGTGTGCATGTTTGTGTTTGTTTGCCTGAAAAATTAACATAATATCTCATCAACCAAAGGACATATTTCAAATGAAACTCTCAGTAATCATTCAACATGCGTCTACAACTGATAAAACGTTAGACTTAATGCTGAGTCACCGTTCACACTGTTGTTTTCCTGTTTAGTCATTAAAAAACATTAAGTTGATTAAGGAGGTGGGAGACAGGACCTGTGTTTTTGTAACTTTCATTCATTTTTAAAATATTTCAATATATTTATTGATATTTTCTTTATAAAAATCCATTGCAATCACTTTCATGCTTCAAAATATTTACTCTGTATTTATTAGTTTTAGCTTTTAGCTAGCTTTTTGCGACATTTCACTATTATTTTGCTACCTTTAGTTAGCCATGCACAGCTTTTAGTCTTTAGCTAGCTTTTTGCTACTTTGGGTATACTTTTAGCTGGTATTTTGCTACTTTTTAGCCTCTAAATTGAGTTTTTCTACTTTTAGACTTAACAACTCAAGTTATAGAATAGAATAGAATAGAATAGAATAGAATAGAATAGAATAGAATAGAAT